GTGCAGTGACTCATGCCTATAAATTCCCAGCACTCTGGGAAGCCAAGACAGGAGGATTGCTTAAGGCCAAGAGTTTGGGACCAGCCTGGACAACTCTAAGACACTGTTTCTAAAAATTTTTTTTGTTAAAAATTAGCCAAGTATGGTGGCACATGCCTGTAGTCCCAGCTACTCCAGAGGTTGAGGTGAGAGAATCACTTGAGCTGAGGATCTTGAGGCACACAACAAAAAATGTCCAAGCCAAACCAAAAGAAATCAAGTATTTGCAAAAATCTTAACCCAGGCACACAGGTTGAAAAAAATATCAAACTAAAACTGTAGCCCAAAAGTGGATTCACCGAGAAAGACATGCCTCATGAACAGAAAGTAGATTTTTGTAGAAATAGAACACTCAATCAGAAAGACATGTGTCTTTACACCAGAAAGGTCTTTTCGGAAAAGACAGAACACTTTTATATACTTTAGGAGGGACATACGGTGCTAAGTGGCTTTACCAGGGCCAGATTCCAAGTAAAGTCAAGAGTTGGCTACCAATAAGAGGGAGCTCAGCCTTAGAGAAGACCCACCAGGGCAGAAAAGGTGAGTCGTAGAAGCAGAGAGCTCAAAGGTCTCAGAATGTGGTATTGCATACCAGTTCTAAGAATCGCCAATTCTTTTCAGTGAATGATCTTTTTCATGTCCATTCTGCAACCCATATACATCAACTTACAACAAACACAGAAAAAAAAAAAAAAGATGTTGAGGGAATGAGCATTGCAATGGAAATACGCATGCCACAGTAAACTATGTGTGTATTCAGGGAGATAAAGAAAGACAAATCCTTTTAAAGAAAAAAATAAAGAATATACAATTGTTTTAAAATAATTTTCCATTGGCTACAAAGATCAATAACAAGGGGCACGCCAGTCTGAGTCTGGACAGGCAGTTGCTGTGCAAACGTCCTTGCAAGAGTATTTTTTTGTGTAGATTGTGGATGGGCTTTGTGTACAGCTGTGTTTTTTGAGAATCTTCTGTGGTAGTTTTATCAAACATACAAACATGAGAACCCTTTCTTCAAGGCCTTCCCTGGCTCTGTTTGTCAAA